GGCAGAGGGTGGCTGGGGCAGTGGCAGAGGGTGGCTGGGGCAGTGGCAGAGGGTGGCTGGGGTGAGTGGCAGAGGGTGGCTGGGCAGTGGTGGTGGGGTGGCTGGGGCAGTGGCAGAGGGTGGATAAGGCAGGGGCAGAGGGTGGCTGGGCAGTGGTGGTGGGGTGGCTGGACAGAGGGTGGCTGGGGCAGTGGCAGAGGGTGGCTGGGCAGTGGTGGTGGGGTGGCTGGACAGAGGGTGGCTGGGGCAGTGGCAGAGGGTGGCTGGGCAGTGGCAGAGGGTGGCTGGGGCAGTGGCAGAGGGTGGCTGGGGCAGTGGCAGAGGGTGGCTGGGCAGAGGGTGGCAGGGCAGGGCATAAATACCTTATGATTAAATTCTTCCTTGGTGGTCCAGTGGACGGCCAGGCTGTAGCCCTGGTGGTCCGGTGGGCTCACTTTACGGTCTGCAGCTCCGCCGGGTGCAGAGCTGCAGACCACGTGGGAAGTTTAGTCTCGCGATCTCAGCCAGTCAGAGCGTTGCCGTGGTAACCCGCGGCAACGATCTGATTGGGTGAGATCGAGAGACCCTGTCAGTCTGCAGCTCTGCGCTCAGCGGAGCTGCAGACAGGCTGGTTCTCTCCCGGGCAGGCAGAGGAGGGGCCTCGCACCCGGCGGCATAAAGTGCAAGCCGCTCCCCCTCCTGTGTCGGGTCCTCGGTCTCTGACTAAATCGCCTAATTAGAGAGCCGCCTCTGTCTGTAAGGATTGGGCCTGTTTATTTACCTGGGAAAATTGTCTACCCATTAAAAGCTCCTTAACCCTGGAGCTGGAGAGGGGGAGGGGAAGAAGGGTGTGAAGGACACATCTGGGGTTAATTGGCCACCACAGATGTATATGAGAGATCTAAAATAAGAATGGGGAAGGGCAGTGAGTGGTCGAAAAAAAACTCTGCGAACCACAGAATATGCATAAAAATTATGATCAGGTAATCATCTGAAAGGTGCAAAGAGATAAACTAGAATTAAACTAGGCAAACATGAGGAGCCATAACAGAGGAGTAGAAACTGCAATATTGACATCATCCCTTTGGTGAGCAGGCCACACAGTACTGCGAGAGGTAGTTGGAGCAGAAAGTCCCAAGGAGTGAAGGAACTTGTCTGTTTCCAAAGTAGACATCAGCCAATAGCCTCGTCCTTCCTTCTCAGCCATGAGAGCCCTGGGGTATCCCCACCTGTAGGTAATGGTGGCATGGTCAACTCCTTCAGCAATGAATGCCACTGCAGCATTGAGCAAATCAAGTCTTGGAAAATGTTGAAGGAGTGTTCTTCAAATATGTATGGTGCTTGGCACCAGACTGCTTTCAGGAAAGATTCTTTGTCACCACGTGACCTAAACACAGGAAAACATCCCTATGCATCAGAGATTTGGCATTAGATCGCCTCGGTACAGTCCATCAAGAGTTAGTCAAGAGTTAGTCCCTTTGCCTGTTTGAGTAGAAGAGTCTATGATGTCAGGAATCACCCGTACTTTCAGATTGACGTTGTCGTGCATTGTTCTCCAGCTGCCTAGCCTTAGTGCTCAGTTGCATGCATATGGAGCTGAGGTCCTTTATTTGTTCTGCTCATGAATATATCTTAATTCATATATTATGTATGTCTTCCTCCATGGCCCTAATCCGTCCCGTCAACTAGCCCATGTCCTCTCTCAGTATCGCCATCTTGAAGGTGAAGAAAGTTTTAAGATCTGTGACCATTGTGGTAAGGTCAGTTTTTAAAGCCAAGGAGGGTTCGGTGGTCACTAAGATTGTCCCAGTTTCTGCGGGGAGGAGATAGTGCCTCCAGTAGCTACTGGTCTTCATCATCCGAGGCCAAAATCGAGTCTTAAGGTGAATCCGGCCTGATACCAGCTATCTTAAAGGACCACTATAGTGCCAGGAAAACATACTCGTTTTCCTGGCACTATAGTGCCCTGAGGGTGCCCCCACCCTCAGGGTCCCCCTCCCGCCCGGCTCTGGAAGAGGGAAAGGGGTTAAAACTTACCTTTTCCAACACTGGGCGGGGAGCTCTCCTCTTCCGATCCTCCTCCGTTACTCCCCGTCGGCTGAATGCGCACGCGGGGCAAGAGCTGCGCGCGCATTCAGCCGGTCGCATAGGAAAGCATTTACAATGCTTTCCTATGGATGCTTGCGTGCTCTCACTGTGAAAATCACAGTGAGAATCACGCAAGCGCCTCTAGCGGCTGTCAATGAGACAGCCGCTAGAGGCTTTGGGGGAAGGCTTTTGGGGGAGGCTTTGGGGGAAGGCTTTACCCATTCATAAACATTCTCTGAAACTGCTATGTTTATAAAAGAATGGGTTAAGCCTAGCTGGACCTGGCACCCAGACCACTTCATTAAGCTGAAGTGGTCTGGGTGCCTAGAGTGGTTCTTTAAGCCTGTACTACTGCAATAAACGCTAGCCGATATCTCTGGTTTGGGCCCTCGAGATTTTCAGGAGTGATTCCCCATGATGTACCATTGTCACAGACAACCAGGTATGCAGTCTTTAGGAATTTTGCCTTAAATCCATATTAGAGAGCTAAGCTGTCACGTGTCTTGTCAGCTCGCTGGTTACCTCCACCCAGTACATTTTGTTAATATATAGAATTGAAGAACAAATCCTGTAGTAACTTAACCTTTATTATTCTCACTGGAAGGCTGTTCCATGTATCCACTACCCATTCTATGTAACTGTTAGCCTTTATGGCTGCAAAGCCATTACAGGTATCTACTACTCTTTCTGTATCGCTGTTATTTATTGCATCCAATTAAAGGACATCCCATATATCTACTACACTTTCTATATTATTGTTAGCCTTTACTGCTTCCACGGGGAGGCAGTTGCAGGTTTCTACCACGCGTTCTATGACGAAGAGCCTTTACTACCTCTGCTGGAAGGTTTATCCTGGTATCTTCTACCACGATGGAAGGCTGTTTCAGGTATCTGCTATATAACTTCTATTCACCATCTTGTTTTAGTTAACCGCTTTAGAATAAATGTGTCACTTTCACAAGTTTAAAAAAAAAAACATGTTACAGCATAGTGAAAACAAAAGTGATGAATAAACACATATTTAATGTTGGCTCCTCTGTAATATCGGAGTATTGGACTTCCACAATAAATATTCATTACAGGATATAAGCTAGAACATGCGTGTAATGTCACCTGTGATTAGAGTAATATTTTGTAATGTTATTTAATAGAATGTTTGCAGTATGTGAAACCGATAAGGCTGTAATATTTATGTGTTGCCCGGCAATAAAAGCAAAATAAAAAAAGCGTGACAGCTCCTTTATCGTATCTGTTTAAAGGTTACAGGCACGGACATGTAGCCAATGTGACAGCTCAAAAAGGATGGATCTATTTTTCATTTCATTTTTTCTCTGTGAAGATTAAAAACGAAGAGGAGCAATCCGTCTAGGGAAAACTGCGAAAGAGCAAACCGGTAAACCTCAAGATTTATACCTGTCTCATACCGGATTCTGATGGGCCAGGAGGATAACAGAAGACATGGCTACATGCAGAGTCCAAGAATAGGTCACGGGAAAGATCACTTTGATTTCAGATGTGAAGAACAAATAGACTGGCCACTCGAGGGACCTATGCATAGTGCATGTTATTCAGTGCGCGTCTCAGTCCTGTCCCTGAAGATTCAAACTTTTCTTTTGTTTTTTTGCCTTGGAAATTTGTGAGCGGGCAGAATAGAGACCCAGGGCAGCCTTCTTGGTTCTAATTTACTACGAAATCACATCCAGGTTCAGTGAAAATGTCACAGGGGTGAACAGTGGGTGTCTTCATTCTTGTTCCCTCTCTTTGCACTTGTTTTCCTGTTCTAATAATCGATCCTGCTGTATGACCCGTCTATTGGCAGTAGTGGAGCGACGGCTCCAGGCAGCACTTTTACACTGTAAAGTACCTGCTGTGGAGCCTGGTCCGCCTATGTGTGTGTGTATGTGTGTGTATGTGTGTGTATATCTATCGATTACTGATAGATAGATATTATATATATATATATATATATATATGTGCAATTCTGGGCCCCCGCTAACATGTTCTGTGGAGAGGGGGCCCAGTGGTCTGATCTTCCTCCTGCAGTTTCATGTATTCTGCTCTCGTAACACCACGAGAACATTGCCGCAGGTTGCTATGGCAACACTCAGACGTGCATGTGTCACGCTGAGCATTACCATAGCAACCCGCGGCTCGCGAGAGCAGAAGACATGAAGCCGCAGGAGGAAGAACAGATCACCGGGCCCCCTCTCCACAGGACACAGCAAAATGTGCCACTGGACCACCATCAATACTAGAATCCCCCTCCCTGACCACAGGTAAGAGGCAGGGAGAGGAAAATACACTAAATCATACTTTAAAAAAAATAAATACAAAATTATCACCCCTCACAGACCCACTAAACACACAGACACACATACACTGCACACACTACATGCACTAAACACAGACACTGCATCCACTACACACACTTTCCTTCTTGTGATACATTCTAGGACCCATGTATTACACATCAAGTTTTATATTGTTCCTGTAAGTTTTCTTGTAATTGTCCTATTTATTGTTACATCCCCCCTCTCAAAATATTGTAAAGCGCTACGGAATCTGTTGGCACTATATACATGGCAATAATAATAATAATAATAATAATAATAATACAGAGTCATTTGAAATGTTTTGTAAATATGGAAATGCTAGCTCTCTGTTACTGTAGATATATCCTCTTCATTGTCAGTTTATCAAGAATGATATTATTTTTTCCCACGCTATTTCATCACTCCGTTGTGATACCACTTCTCCTATCAGACACAGACAGATCTGTTTTGTCACACATTCTCACTTTTAATTAAGAATTTAGTTATGGCAGCTTTAGCCAGTGAATACAGTGTACAGAAACAGCAAGGTTTTCTCCTGATAAGAAGTTGTATGCAGGTATATGAGAAAATGGGATAATTCTAAGACATGACACCCTATTGTCTGAGTTTTTTGTTTACTTGAAATATTATTGTGATGGCAGTCACCATCACTGGGAGGATAAGTTGGAAATGTCCATTAGATCCCTGGATGACTCCTATGTTCAAATCACCCTGTGCCCATTAGAGGTGTAGGATGTGTATAATGTAATTGTTGATTGTTAAAAGCTGTTCTCATGTCCTGCTGATTCGTTCAACCAACCAGGTGGATTTGGCTGTGAAGCCCGTACAGCGCCATCTGTTGGTTGTAGGGATCCTGAAATAGCTATATGCACTACCTGAATAGCAAGGTTTGTTAATTTGCATATTATGAATTATGCAGACAGGAAAGATATTTTGTGTTTTCCCACCCCTTTATAAATATGTTATTTTGTTATTATCATTTCCTGTTTTTCGATATGATATTCTTATTTGTATTATATTGATTTTGTCACCGCACGTTTTTAATGCTATGTGCTTATGGGCTAGTCCTGAGTTAAAATAAAGTTGTGTTAGTTCATTTTGGAACTGTGTGTCCTGGTTGATTTGTTCACGTATCCCAGTAACACAGTCTTTGGACCTGTTGGCTGGCTGCTTGGCCCCTATAGCCTGGGACAAGTCAAATAGATCTAGGCCTGAGAGCAACAAATGCCTTTTATAAAGGCAGTAGCTGATCATAGGGCAGGCAGAGGTGTGCATACCTGCCTGGGAAAGGAGCTGAAGAGCAAAGGCCAGAGGGGACAATATCTGCCTGGAAGGAGAGAACTGCGGCCTGGTTGGGCGGAAGAGCTGCGGGCAGAAGAGCTCCTGAGAGATCCCGGTCAAGCTTCGGTGACTTGGGCTGAAGCATTCCAGGATCCTAAAAAGCAGACTGGGTGGAGGTTCTAAGTCGGAGTACGGGAGCTCCGTCACAATTATGTGGCCTGAAGTATGTGGACTCCTTCTTACACAATATTATGGTGTTTGTCCCAGGTTTGCTGCCGTCTCCTCTTTTGGAAGGAATTAATTAGTCTGGCTATCAGTCAGCATTCATTCCAAAAGCATTCAGTAGTGTTGAGGTCAGGGTCACAGTGCTGTGTGCTCTAGAATGCATTATCACTCAGTGTCATGTCATTGTAAATAACTAAATCACTGATCATTATTGCTTCCAAAGAGCTTTACAGTTGGAAGTGTACAGTCAGGCAGCTTGAATTGCTCCAAACTCAGAATCTTCAGTCAGCCTGCCCAATGGTAGAGCATCATGTGTCACTTCAGATATGATCCTTTTGTTGCTCTAAAGTCCAGAAACTGAAAGATTTGCACCTCTCCAGACAAAGCTTGAGTCTCTGCATGGTGTTTTTATATATATTTGTTGCTGCTCAAGAATGAAAACAGTTTTTATGACGCTCTGTCACGGGTGGCGGTACGGAAACCGGGACCCCTGAGTGCCTGAAGTGGAGATGAGCGGAGTCTTCAGCGAGGTAATGGACTGTCAGGGCCTGGTGCAAGGTAACCGCGCGCCCCATGGTGTTGAGCACCAGCGTTTGTGCGGCCACATACCAAACCCTGATTCAGCTTATATGGATCCCAGGAACTAGGAGCGGGAATTAAGCAGACCTCCCAGGAGCTGAATAAGGAGGCTCTGCTGCAAGAATGTATCCAGTACTAAAGCAAGGCAAGACTAGAGATAGGCACCATACATGAAAACAAGACAAAACTAGAAGAACCCAGAACTGGAGCAGGACAGAAAGTAGAACCCAGAACATGTACACAAGACATGAGGAAAACAAGAACAGGGCAGGACAGGACTGTACATGAACTGGGAATACAAGACAAAATAAAACAAGTCAAGAGATACAAGGTAAAACAAGAGGAGACATAACTAAGTACTATATATGAAAAGTACGGGGATTTAGTTACATTATATGATCATACATTGCATAAGCCTGCCAACAACGCCAATGTACCCCATATCTGGCAGGTCCTACTCTGCCTAATGCAAGCTAAACCACCCAAAGAAGACATATATAGCACTTACCTGCAAGAAAGGGCAGAAGCCATGAGCAGCTGCCTGCAGGACACTGAAACAAAAAGGAATGATGGAAAACAAACGGATGTGGCAAATAAAACAAACATTTAAATGAATCCAAGAGACTGGGAATTCCAGGGACGGAATATAAGAATGAACCCAGAAACCCAGCATAAAGAAAACCAGACATAGAATAGAAAACCAAAAAACCAAGAAAAACTAAACAAGAATTGTAAAAAGAGTACTGGATACCAGAAGCCATTGCCAGAATGATCCGCAACGAGGAACAGGATGTGACACGCTCCAGGTGAACATTTCTTGTATTGATGTTGTTGCAGGAGGTAGTTTGGATCCAATTCCTTTCTGTAAGCTCCTGTTACCACTTTCTGATTGAGCTATTGCTGTTTTCATGTTAAAATAGCTTTATTTACAGCTTGGTTGGGCAGCTTTTCCTTAGTGCCTGGCTTCCAACATGGCCAGACATGTTTTCATGAGCTCTCCAGGGTTTGAGCTGAAACCAGGTTTTTGCTGCAAATATTACTGCTGATACCTATCTTGAACTACAACATGTAGCTTGTAAAGCACAGCTCAGCCCCTTGCCCCCAATTAGTGGTGTTTTCACCCATCTCTGGGTTTGAGGACTACCGAGTTGGAAGTGCTGACTGCTAAGGGGAAGCGGCCGGTCTATTGGCAAAAAGTGCAACTCCAAATCTTGAATAGCATCAGCCCCGTGCACCACCCCTTTGGACCGGTGGGGGTTATCCTTGCCCCCTTTAGGTCCACAGACTCTATAGTTGTCAACATACCTACCACTCTTACGAATTCATCTCAAACCAACTGCGATAATCCAAAATGGCAGACAAGACTTTTGTTGATTTACATGACGTTAGTTCCATTCAGAAATATCACCGCAACTCTACAGCTAGATCAATCCTCCGTCTTCCCAAGGGAGGGGTTAGATCTGGACTGTAATAGTTTCCTGATCTGTGGTTTAATGATGTTGGCACTCATGAAGGCTCAGGGCCGGAGGGACATAACCTTCTCTGGCTGTAAAGTACCTTTGCCACCTCAGAAAGTCGGCTAATCTAATCTGAGGGACTGTTGCTTAAGCTATCTTTCCACCCGATGGTGGCGGACGACATCTTATCTACATAATATGACATGTACCTTGTTAACTGTTATTGTTTCCTATTGATACTGTGCCGCTCCTTATTTTAGTGATGTGGTATTATTTGGCTTTATCTTACCCCAGTGGCTATAGGTCCAGCAACTTACCCTAGCAGGATTCATATTTCCCTGTCTCTCGTTTAATATTAAAACAAAATTATCGATCATACTCATGTGGAATGTCAATACCTATTTGTTATGCTTAGCACTATAAAAAATAAAGGATTAAAAAATGATTTCTGATATTTTAATTCCTCAATCAGTGCCACCAGGTCATTAAATGAACACTTAATAAAGAAAACTGTATAGTATAGTATTAGTACATGTTGTACGTACAATTTATATTTAGGGCTGCCCACCTATTGCCACGTCATTTGACCCCTCTTCCTTTTTCACGCATGCAGTGGGTACAAGAAGCACAGTGTGATTAGTGCTATGCTCATCCAATCAGTTACTTCTTATAAGGAAATATTGAATCCAATTTTCCCTGTGTTCAGCTTTTCATGAAGTTTGACATGGAATGTTAACCAAATCAAACTCAAATCAAATCGTCACAGCAGTAGCACCCTCTAGAGGTGTGTGCAGCCCTTCAATGAAAATGTTTCTGTATCAAATTACAAGAAACAAAACGAAAATGGTACTACACCCAGACCACTTAATTTAGATGAAGTGGTCTGCATCCCTTTAGTGTTTTTTTAAATGCATGAGCTCAGATTTGATTTTAAAGTGTAAGTGATCCAATTTGTACCTTATACTTGCTATATATTGTTTACAGTTGTATCTGTTTGTATGTCATATACGGTTGATTGTGTTATAAGCACTTTTTTCTTTTGTTCTGTGTTCTAGAAATTGTGTACTCCTAATTATATTTCGATTTGAGCATGAATAGCAGTAATAGGCTAAAATCACTGGGGTATATGTACATTTGCTTGTGCCTAATTCCCACAGACCTGCCAACATTTTAGGCCAAAGTTAAATATAGCAAGGTTGGAGAATTTTTTTCAACTTGGGTTTTTGGTCTAAAATATATTAACTTTGAATTATTGGCACTCGACACTTTAATGGATAATCCTTAGTCTTTAATAACAACTTTATTTCTCTATCAGTAAACCTTTATACTGACATTCAAGGAAATCACATTATTATATTTTTCTTTTGTTTCTAAATGCAACTGGTTTTGATATATATATATATATCACAAAAAATAAAGATGAGAGCACTCAGTGGATTTCCAACTAAATTTGTGTATTCAAATGTTGCCAATAAGGATCAACATTTTGACCTGGCGGTCTTTATCTTTATGAGCTCATCTTTATTTTTGGTTTATATTCGTGCAGTGCAGCACCTTGGTTTAATTTCACTGTTTGTTTGTTTGTTTGTTTTAGGTAGAGTGCCAGACTTATTGCATATATATATATATATATAATTTTCTTTTATAAGTGGTAACAACTCATCAATTCTGCATTACGGTCACGTCGGGGCTTCGGGGCTTCCAATGAGAGGACTCTCAGAGATGGGGACATGTGGTAAGCATTGTTATTTACTTACTATTATAATGCTACATTAACTCCATAAGGAGGGTGGTGGGAGGGAACATGACATCATGGATAATGGAACCTTTTCCAGGAGTACCGTAGAGACCAGGTCCCCATTAGGGATGTGCATGGGCAACAAATTTGGTTCGGTTCAGAAATTCGGGTAAGTAAAAAAAATGTGTCTGCATCAACAATTTGGACCAATGGCATTCAATTTGGTTCGGCACTTCCGAAATGTGGAACTTCGGCAATTCGAAACTTCAGCAATTCGGAACTTAGATAATTCAGACCCTAACCCCTAACCCACTTCATGACTTCGGCAATATGATCCGGTTCAGCACTTCGGAAATTCCACAATTCGGACTTCGGACATTCGTAAGCATCCGAATGTCCGAATTGCACGAAATTCGTCTGAATGTACATTTGAAACGAAACAAATTGCACATGTCTAGTCCCCATCATATCTCAGCCATCACCACAAAACATGAATGGATTACACACATTTGTTTATGACGTGGTTGTAAATGTAATATTAATAACAAAAATGGACAATACAACAGCATGTGTTAGTCACTTACATTTACATTTTAAGAGCTAATTTGAATGCTAAATTATACGTTGTACCCACAGAACACTAGTTTGATTTCACATCAAAAGTTGTCAGTTTGTGGCTCCGACTGTCAGGATGAAACACAGACTGGCCATGATCAGTCTTTTGTTAACACTGATGAATTAATTGGGTGTAATGTGAAAATCCCACTTAGTGTTTTCATTGTTTGTAGTGTATATTCTGTTTTATGGCATGTTGTATGTATCATAGAATGTCTGTGTCTCTACTGTGCAGTGCAGTAATACACAATGATACTCAACTATGTTTATCCTTAAACAATAATTGTCACCTAAAAACTATTTTTTTTTTTTTTGCATAGTCTCTGGTTTTCCCTGCTTCACTCCTTGCAGAGTGCAGTGACATCATCAGACTGACCGTCAGATTCAGACATGGTCTGGCCCAAACTGCATGTATATGGCTGATGGATCCTGTCATAATCTGAAGGTAGGGATCAATTTTTCTATTTTTTTGCATATACTTTATTTAATAAAAAATATATTTCCTTTCAAAACTTGGTAAAAGGGTTATTGTGTTACAAAAAAAAATGTGTTTTAGGTTGTAGTTGACCTTTAAGCCATTTTTTAAAAATATTCTTTATTTTTGTTGGGCATAGTAACAACATACAGGTTCATTTTGCCCCAACAGCATTTGTGAATCGTGAGTAAACTGAGTTTATCACAGTACAAGGCATGTATGAGAAACTGCAAATTTTTTGATTAATTGTTAAACAAACAAGGTCTTCGTCTGGAACATCACGCGGTATGCCGTCTGTATAAGTAGTGAGGTCTTGAGGTTCTGACTGCTATATAGCAGGCTTCTCCATGAGTAGGAAATCGTATAGACAAAAGAGGTTGGCATTGTCGTATTAGTGCCATTATGGTCCGTCATGTGTATAGGGGCGCATGTGGGTAACATGTGAGTGGACCGTAGAGTATGGCCAAATTCTCCTAAGAGGATGCATATATACCACTAACCTCTGGGGTAAGGATGGGGGGAGGATGTTGTCAGTATTTCTAGGCAGATGTCCCCACTGAAATTGTGTGTAGAGTTACAGTGGGAGATTCGGTCGCACCTGTCAGAGGTATGATATGTAAAGCGTAAGGAGCATGTGGTTAGTATTATATGCCATGGTTATATTATTATATAGCTATATATGCCATGGTCATCTGTAGTAAACTGAAATGTAAAACTTATAAAACCTATAAAACCTATAAAGCAGGCCCACTGGGTTAGTAAGGCTACTGATCAGGCATTCATGTCACAGGATTCACAACAACCCCAGGGACGAATGGTGCGATTTAGGACATCCCAGGCATGGCTGGTGGGCTGAGACGGCTGTGTTTCAAAAAGGCCCAAGGCCTGTAGGATGTTTAGGCCCACTGGTGGTCCTGTTGCTTTAAAAGACTTTTTGTCTGTAGTGACCATAAGGGACCTAGGGTATGACTATCAATAGGTTATTCCTGCCTCTAAGTAAGAAATGGGTGTAGCGGAGATGCAATATTACCCAGGTTATCTCCGCTTATAATCCAAGTGAGACTCAGGAACAAGTAAATAGTAAATCCAAAGGCAGGGTTTCCAGCAGGTAAAATACAGCAATATCCCAACAACAATCCCAATAACTGGACGACACACAGTTTCAGGAGCATAACTGACAAGCCTTTAATCACAGTCTCCTTATAAAGCATGCTCCCATGCAAGGGAGGGATTACAGTAATTATTACAGTAGCCAATCCTGTCCTGGTAACCTCCCACACATCTCCTCCCCTCAGCCAGCATCATAATCCCCTTATCCAGTACACCAATTCCCCCGTTTCTGGATGTACCCCTAAACGTAGGGGTACCTCTTTAAATCCTACATCCCCTGGTAGCCCTGATCTGGGTGAACAACATATCCAAAAACCACCCAGATCAGACCAGGGGTTCGGGAAAAGTATGGAGGGAATAAAATGACCGACCGCACGAACTGAGATAGCCGAATTCGGTTCCATGTGAATGGGCCCTGCGGTCGGTCCTGGCATAAGGGAATAAAATACACGAAAACCTCTAGCTATAGAGGCTAGGGAGGGTTCGCCTGAATCCCCTCGTTCGGTATTCTCTATCTACCGAACGAGGGGCCGTTCGGTAGTTTGGAACCGAACGGACCAGGGCTGTGGAGGTCTCAGCGGTGTTCGCCTACTCGAGTGTCCGATTTTAGTTCCAGACACTCGACGGCTAAACACCGCTGTTCGGGAGTTTTAAAATGGCCGCCGCCACGTGTTCGTTTGTCGAATGGCGGCCACCCCCGAGAACAAAGGACGGCTACTTACTGTTCAATTACCCGTTCGCAACAATGTTGCAACGGGTAATTGAGGACACACTTCACACAGGGGAGGTCTGGTTGTTCGGTAGTTTCATTCGAATAAACTAAGGGAACGAAACTACCGAACAATCACAAGAATACAAGGCTTTAAAACACATAGGAAACTAACAGATCACACGAATGCATTTATTTCACAGACATTTGCAGGACAGCCCAGTGCCATCCGCTACACTGCTCCCCCTTGCCCACAAGCCGGCATACACAGTCTGATCCAACACGGATCGGCTTGGGGATGTCCGGGGACTCACGGATCATTTCTCCAGGTCAGTTTGTCTTGACAACCCGTCGGCATTCCCATTCTGTTTACCCGGGCGGTACTGAATATTAAAGTCAAAAGGCTGCAGCGCCAAACTCCAGCGCAGCAGCCTGGCATTGTCCCCAGCCACCCGGTTTAGCCAGACCAACGGGTTGTGATCCGTGAGTAACGAAAAAGGCTGTCCATATAGATACGGCTGTAGTTTCTTTAAGGCCCACACCACAGCCAGGCATTCCTTCTCGATGGCGGCGTAGCTTACTTCTCTGGGTAACAGCTTGCGACTGATGTAAGCCACGGGGTGTTCTCCGCCATCGGCTCCGACTTGGCTCAGTACTGCTCCCAATCCAAACATAGAAGCGTCTGTGTGAACAAGAAAACGTTTAGTTGGATTGGGAGCTGCCAAGACAGGAGCGTTTATCAGTGCATTTTTCAGATGTTGGAATGCCTGCTCACACTCCGGGGTCCAGGTCACCTGGCGGGGCAAATTCTTCCGAGTAAGGTCAGTGAGAGGTTTGGCGAGGGCGCTATAGTTAGGGACAAACTTCCTGTAATACCCAGCGGTCCCTAGAAAGGCTAACACCTGGGTTTTAGTCCTAGGAGTGGGCCACTGGGCCACGGCTTCTACCTTGGCTGGTTCGGGCTTCTGTTTGCCGCAACCCACTCTATGTCCGAGGTACTGCACCTCGGCCATCCCTATGCTGCACTTGGCCGGTTTCAATGTCAAACCAGCTTCCTTAATCCTGTCTAGAACCGCTCCTATATGGGCCAAGTGCTCCTGCCACGTATTGCTAAAAATGGCAATATCGTCCAGGTAGGCACAGGTGTAGTCTTGGAACCCATCCAGGAGTCGGTCTACCATCCGCTGGAAAGTAGCTGGGGCGTTTTTCATCCCAAATGGCATGACCTTAAACTGGTACAAGCCAAATGGGGTGACAAAGGCCGATTTCGGGATGGCCTCTGGGGCCAGGGGGATTTGCCAATACCCCTTACATAAGTCAATGGTAGTGAGGTATTGACCCCTGGCCATTCTGTCCAGTAGCTCATCTATCCGTGGCATAGGGTATGCATCGGACACCGTTTTCTCGTTTAATCTCCGGTAGTCTACGCAGAAGCGGGTCGTACCGTCCCGCTTCGGTACGAGTACTACCGGAGAAGCCCAGGGACTATCTGAGGGCTCAATTACCCCCAGTTGGAGCATCTCATCGATCTCCTTGCGCATGTTTTCCCTTACCGCTTCGGGGATGCGGTAGGGGGTCTGACGCATCGGTAATTGCCCTGGGGTCTCTACCCGGTGAGTGGCCAGAGGGGTGTACCCAGGTACGTTAGAGAACGTGTCTCGTTTCTCTTCCAACAGCTGCCGTACCTCGATGCGCTCCTGTGGGCTCAGCCGGTCTCCCAGTGTGACTTCCCCTAAATCCCCAGACAGCTGCCCATCTTCCAGCAGATCTGGGAGTGGTAAGCTGTCAGACTCATCTGAATTGGGCGCGCATATGGCGGTTACCTCCTCGGAGCGTGCTTGGTAGGGCTTCATCATGTTCACATGGAGCATGCGTCGCCCTCCCGTCCCTGTACAGGAGCCAATTATATAGGTGGTGTCACATCTCTGTTCCACCACCCTATAAGGTCCCTGCCAGGCGGCCTGTAGCTTGTCATGTCGGACAGGCTTTAAAATCAGCACTTTCTGCCCGACCTGAAAGCTACGGTCCCTGGCTCCCCGGTCATACCATGTGCGCTGGCGAGTCTGTGCCGCCTGAAGGTTTTCCCTTACCGTCCTGGTTAAGGCTTCCAGGCGGTCTCGGAGAGCCAACACATAAGGTATGATGGGGGTGCCATCTGCGCTCCGGTCTCCCTCCCAATGCTCTCTTATAAGATCTAAGGGGCCTCTGACCCTCCTCCCAAACAGCAGTTCAAACGGGGAGAACCCCGTGGATTCCTGCGGCACCTCCCGGTAAGCGAATAGGAGATGCGGCAGGAACCGCTCCCAGTCCTTGTGGGTCTCTGCGAAGGTTCGGAGCATTTGTTTCAATGTGCCATTGAACCGTTCGCAGAGCCCATTAGTCTGGGGGTGGTAAGGGGCACTGATAATAGGCTTAATGCCACAGATCCTCCAGAGGTGTTGGGTGAATTCTGCGGTAAATTGGGTACCCTGATCCGAGATAATCTCCCTGGGTAATCCCAACCGGGAGAATATCTGCATGAGGGCATCCGCGACCGTTTCAGCCTGAATGTTGGTCAGAGCCACCGCCTCTGGATATCTGGTAGCATAGTCTACTACCGTTAAAATGTACCTTTTGCCTGACGGGCTGGCTTTCTTGAGGGGACCTATCAAGTCTACCGCTATTCTGCTAAACGGTTCCTCAATTATTGGCAAGGGGTGTAGCTTCGCCTTCCTCCGGTCTCCCCTTTTCCCTACCCTCTGGCAGGTGTCGCAGGTGGTGCAATACCGGCGCACTTCCTGGCTGATCCCTGGCCAGAAGAAATTTTGGGTCAGTCGATACCTAGTACGGCTGACCCCTAGATGTCCGGATAGCGGGATATCGTGCGCTATCCGGAGTAGCTCTGCTCGGTACCGCTGCGGCCCCACTAGCTGCCTCGTCACTATTGGGTCTGACCCCTCAATCTGCTTGTCTGTCTCCCGGTACAAAAGCTGCTTGTCCCAGACAAATCTCTCCCCCTGGAGGGTCTGCTGTCACCTTGTCTCTGTATACCTGCAAGGTGGGGTCAGTCACTACCTCTGCTGCGAATTCGTTAGGAGGGGCCCAGGGGACACAGTCAAGGGAAGGGGAAGGGTCTCTTACCTGAACCTCCGGAAGTGTGTTGTAGTCCTGGGTGCGGGCCTGTTGACGGGTGACCACAGGATGAGCTTCTCCTGTGGTGGACGTCTGGGGCTCAAAAGCAGATGTGAGCCTCCCCAGATCGTTCCCCAATAAAACCTCCGCCGGTAACTGCGGCATCAACCCCACCTCCACATGTCCTGCCCCCGCTCCCCAATGTAAATGTACCCTTGCTGTAGGTAGCCGGTACACTGCTCCCCCGGCTACCCTGACGGCCACAGTTTTACTTAGTCTCGCTTCATCCGAGACCAGATGACTTTTGACCAAGGTGATGGTAGCCCCCGAATCACGTAGGCCCTGTACTGCTTTACCCTCCAAGTATACGGTCTGCCTGTGATGCTGTCTGTTATCAGCATTGGCCTGGACTGGATCCGCCTCGTGTAGTACTTCCCACTGTTCCACGGTTGTTATGGGAACAGCTGACCCATATGGTGTGGCCACTATATTTTGGTAGTGATGGGCGGCGGCTGCTCTCGGTGGTGGTGGTGGTGGGCCGGGGCGAATCCAGGTAGAACGATCCCTCAGCTGGGGACATTCCCTTTTATAATGTCCCCACTTCTGGCAGTGATGACAGGGGCCAGAAGCGGGCTGGCGAAACCGGGGCTGTACAGCGGGTGGTGGTGGTGGTAGTTGCCTCGGTGGAGCTGGGTTGTAGCTGTTTCCCCCAAAGGTTTTAAAAATAGCTTTTGGGGCTGCTGGTTTCTGCTGCCTGCGTGCATCCAAGTACTCATCGGCCTTCCTAGCAGCTTCGGTAAGGGAGGTAGGGTTTCTGTCCCTCACCCATTCCTGGACCTCGCCTGTTACCCCCTCATAGAATTGCTCCAACAACACCATTTGCAATAAGTCCTCCATGGACCGAGCCTTATTAGACTGTACCCACCCCAGAGCGGCCCGATGCAACTTGCAAGCCCATTCCACATGAGAGTCCTTGTCATTTCTCTTTAGGTCTCTAAACCGTCGCCGATATGCCTCTGGCGTGATTGCATATCGGGCCAGGATCACTTCTTTTACTCGGCGGTAATTCCGAATTTCCTCATCAGGTACAGTTCTATAGGCTTCCGCCGCCTTCCCTGTGAGCTTCCCTGCTAAAATAGGCACCCACTCATCTGGGCTAATATTATGCAAGGCACACAGCCTTTCAAAGTCTTGGAGAAAAGCATCTATATCTTCCTCTGCTTCTATATACGTTTTAAAGGCTTGGTAAGGAATTTTTGTCTTACCCTGTGTGATGGTAGTTGTGGTAGCATTCCTCTCCAGCTGCTGTAGTGGCTTTTGGCGCAGTATAAACTCCTGTACCTCTGACATTGTCCTGGATATAATATCCGTTGTTGGATTCTCTCCATAAAAGGACAGCCTGAACTGCACCTCTCTCCGGAACTCTTCTTTTTCAGCACCATCTGCTGCACTCTGTTGCTCAGGGATTACCCTGTCCTCCTGCTGGTATTCAGCCATCACTTCTGCAATGAGGATTGCTTTCTTTTTGTTGCTGGCTGCAATGCCTTTCGCTTCCAGGAGATCTTTTAGCGTGGATCTTTTAAGCTTGGCATAATCACTCTCCATCCGTATTCCATTAGTCCTTGTTCCCTTGTGAGTCTGGATCCCAGCGCTGCCAACCAATGTAGCGGAGATGCAATATTACCCAGGTTATCTCCGCTTATAATCCAAGTGAGACTCAGGAACAAGTAAATAGTAAATCCAAAGGCAGGGTTTCCAGCAGGTAAAATACAGCAATATCCCAACAGCAATCCCAATAACTGGACGACACACAGTTTCAGGAGCATAACTGACAAGCCTTTAATCACAGTCTCCTTATAAAGCATGCTCCCATGCAAGGGAGGGATTACAGTAATTATTACAGTAGCCAATCCTGTCCTGGTAACCTCCCACACATCTCCTCCCCTCAGCCAGCATCATAATCCCCTTATCCAGTACACCAATTCCCCCCGTTTCTGGATGTACCCCTAAACGTAGGGGTACCTCTTTAAATCCTACATCCCCTGGTAGCCCTGATCTGGGTGAACAACATATCCAAAAACCACCCAGATCAGACCAGGGGTTCGGGAAAAGTATGGAGGGAATAAAATGACCGACCGCACGAACTGAGATAGCCGAATTCGGTTCCATGTGAATGGGCCCTGCGGTCGGTCCTGGCATAAGGGAATAAAATACACGAAAACCTCTAGCTATAGAGGCTAGGGAGGGTTCGCCTGAATCCCCTCGTTCGGTATTCTCTATCTACCGAACGAGGGGCCGTTCGGTAGTTTGGAACCGAACGGACCAGGGCTGTGGAGGTCTCAGCGGTGTTCGCCTACTCGAGTGTCCGATTTTAGTTCCAGACACTCGACGGCTAAACACCGCTGTTCGGGAGTTTTAAAATGGCCACGTGTTCGTTTGTCGAATGGCGGCCACCCCCGAGAACAAAGGACGGCTACTTACTGTTCAATTACCCGTTCGCAACAATGTTGCAACGGGTAATTGAGGACACACTTCACACAGGGGAGGTCTGGTTGTTCGGTAGTTTCATTCGAATAAACTAAGGGAACGAAACTACCGAACAATCACAAGAATACAAGGCTTTAAAACACATAGGAAACTAACAGATCTAAACTAACAGATCACACGAATGCATTTATTTCACAGACATTTGCAGGACAGCCCAGTGCCATCCGCTACAATGGGGTAGAAGAGGTTAAGAAGCAATGAAGGCTGCTTGTTAAAGGAATGATAAGAAATATACTCACAAAGAGTTTGAACAATATAATACATATAGGATAGTACAGCAAGGAAATATATACAAATGTAGCAATTAAATTATATAACCTAAGGATGGCAGAGGGATAATGTGTCTGAAAAACATTATATAGCTAAGTCTTCATTGAACTTGCTAAAAACTGAATCGACTTCAAGGTTGCTGTCTGAAAAAATAATATTGGAATGAAGGCAAAAGGCTAGGTTGATTGTAAAACAGAGACAATAATAAAGTAAATCCATCTGTTATCAGGTAGTTGTGGTGAGTAGAAAAAAATATACTCAAAGAGAGGTTGAACCCAATAGCTTAGTTGCTAAGCAGTATAATACCTATGAAATGATGCCTCAAGGGAATATATACAATGTTGCAAAAAATTCTATATTATTTCGTCCCATAATAGTACCCAGCCGGGCTTGATGGGTGTCCTGGGGAGGCAAGACCTCGTCAGAGCCGTCGCTTGTCCAGAAGTTGACACTGAATAGCAGCAGGAGTCCCATTCTGTAGGCCCCAAGTCCTCTGTGTCACAAACGCACCCTACTTCAAGAGTGTGCATGACATAGTAGTGGTGGTGAAAGGGTTAATGTTCACTATTTGTGTGCACTAGACCGGAAATAATGATAAAATCCCCCTTAACACCACCCACACTTAAGCATAATAATATAAATATCACTATTTTAACGCTATCATCACCAAGACAATTTAAAAATGGGGTGCCTTGGTCCCCCAGGTATTTAATAATAAAATCCCACCAAATGTAACTTAGCACAATATCTATGTAATTGCAAAATGCTAATTTGTCTCTTCAGGTAACGTGATTCTTTTCCAGACAAAGGCAGAACTTAATAATAATAGTAATATTTATTATGAGCAAAAAAATTGTCGCAGTGCATGCAAAAATATAAAAAATATTTACACCAGCAACAGATAAAAACAAAAGGGATGAAACAGAAATAACACTTACTCAGCCTTTCAAAGTAAAACTTCTGCCGAAGGTGGTCTCTGGTAGGAAAGATGGTGACTCACTTAGAATTAGATTCTGGCACCTCAAGCAAGTACAATGCACACTTCAGTATAATTAGAGATATAGCCTGTGGATTACCACGCCTCGCCCTGAGGTGGAGTTAAGGCATATCTATAGAGACAATACGTGATCACCCCCTTGTATCCCAGACCAACATCAATCCAAATGGAAATGTTTGGTTCTATCTTCCCTTTTGTACTTGCCACAGAAATAATAATTGCATCTAGAAATTTGTTATTATTCTTCCATACCATAGATATCTCACACACCTTACTTGCGACTCAAAATATAGCGGGCATCACAATCCTTTCCATTATGGTTAAGTTATGCCAATCATGTTTGGGCTTGTTTAGAAGATGGCGCTTGTCACATTCCAAATATAACAAAAATGAGTCAATTATGATGCTGTGGGTTAATATTAATGATACTGGAACAAGGCTAATGGACATTAACATATCAAAGGAGATTGACTCATCAATTAAGAGGTACAGGCCATATGACTGAAGCCAGACATTCAGGCTTTTCAAGTGTAGAATTTCAAACTTTGCAGAGCCTTTGAATAATCACAGGATCCATCCATATGGTAACCCATCTGACCCCTTTCACAGTCATATGCTAATTACATTACCCCTTCTGTCATCTGATCTCTGTGGGGGTCCCAGCTTATAACCTAAAGCTATAAACCATCTGACCTTCCGTACAATCAAATTTACCCCTTTTGTCATTGACAATACCACCTCTACCAGGAAGGCAGGTCATCTATGCACTACACAAATGACATAAAAGGACACTTTTCCATAGTGCAATAATGAATTATGCACCCTTGCCGTGACACTCGTTTTTGCACCTGCAGTGAACTGGAACGGCATCCCCCAAATCGGCGCAGGTTCCCAAGCATGCAGGTAAGTATTATGCCGAGTAATATAGTGTTTATCATCACGGACAAGCTGTTTTTTTTAAGTTTGGATTTCGGAGCTGTGAGTAATGGCGTCTGCTCCTTAATGCTGCCAGCTCCGCCCTTTAAGCAAATTTTATGCTGCAAGTTTCCTTATCTGAAGGTCTTATTTATTTGGAAATGTAATGACAACTTTTTTAGGAGAACATGGCTAAGCTGGAAAATAGTTTCATAGAATTTTTTATATGAAGCAAATTTTAGCAAAACATTGGTAAGTTCAGTGAATAAACCTGTGTGTGTCTCATGCACACTGCTTGTGGCTTGGATCGGCTGCATACAACCCTACAACTAGATAGGCATTCTGGGTGTCATCGTTCAACACATGCTGAAGACTTGCTGAAGGAGTTAGTGTCTTCTCATGCACAGAAGTCTTCATTGATGGGAAACATGAAAAAATATACAAAAGAACAGTAGTTCAGAAACTATCCAGGATTTATGTATTTCCCTGTTTTATTCCACTGGAGATACTGTCCTGGACTGTTGGTGGATCCTGAGTACTGGTTTGGGAAGCACTGCAATAGAAGCTCTTTTGTGCATGATATCAAAGGGACACTCCAAGCACCATAGCCACTACAGGGTGGTGCAGGGTTTAGCTCATTGTCTAAGCCATCAGCTGATGCTATTAGCAAGCAGTTTGACTACTTACACGGGGAAAGCCAGGGCAGTCCTAGGGTCATACCCAGCGCAGTGTGCTGTAGTGGTTATGGTGCTTAGACCGCTCCTTACAATGTAGCCTTCTGCTGACTCCCTTTGCTGTATTCAAGGTTTGTTTAGTTTGTCCTTGTCACTGTGTCACTGGATCCTGAGTGAGCTATATCAATATCTATATAGATGTAAATAATGTATTTGTAAAAAAAAACCACAAAAAAACACCATTCCATATTTCTAGATAGTTCCTGATCACAGCAATCATCTTCCAATGTTGCCTATTCTCTATTAAAATTCAGAATTTTTAAAGACTGGCAAAAAAAGAGACTTGGGGCTCCAGCCCTGTGTATCCACTCCTAGCAATGCCCTGCCTTCATCCCTTTGTCAATCACAGAATAAATCCGTAACAGCTAGTGATATAAATCTTATTCAAGGTAATGGCAGAAATCCCATTGAGGAAAACGGTCCTCCCTGTCCTGACATACAGCTCTGACATTACCTACAGGCCATGTCCTGTTTGAAATTGTTCATAAAGAAGATTAAAGCTGGAGAGCGCAATCATAAAGAAAACATATAGAGCTCCATGATTTACATGTGCGAGTAGGATCCTATATTCCAGCTGGTTTATTGAAATTGATTGTGTTCTCTCAGAAAATAAACTTTGATCACATTATGTGCACAAAGCTCTGGTCATTGGCCATTGTGGACAATCTCTGGCATTGAACCTATTCAGGATTTAGCTTTATTGAAGGGCAGAGGATTGTGGGAAATGTAGTCCACTGCAGCTGCGTTATCCCAGTCAGTACGATGACTCAATGTATTTACAGTTTATGAAAATGTTAGTGAAGCCGCACACTGTTCGGAGGGCGTCATTGTTTGCTGCTTTGTGTTGTAAGCAGCGGGTCACAGACTTTTTATTGCTTTTGACAAATGTGCTTGGAAAAGGCCTTTATTTGCAATGAGCCAGCTATTTTTGGCAGGCGTCGGAGCCTGCAGCCTGTAATGAGATTACTGAAAACTTTTATTTGAATGTGTGCATTGCGATGTAAGCGTCCAACATGGAACCCGGGTCAATTTTGTTTCACTTATATATATATATACATTTGTTTATCTTTATATATTTATCTTTCTAAACATATAAAATATGAATATTGTAATTTTTTTTGTTGCCATTTGCTCAGACATGAAAATGAACCACACTTCTTAAGCCTTGTTCCAAACTGTGTAGCAGTATTCCAGTAATTGGTTACTAAACAGAAATTTTAGAACGGTGAGGTATAAGTGAATTAAACCAATTAGGCAGCTGCTACAAAACTAAGGAACCTTCACCCTAAATAAAAAGATTAAAGTACTCTGTCACCAATACTAAACTTTATCTAATCTGCTTCTATATTGCTCCCTGAGTCTCAATATCATTTTATTTTATTTTTTTTCTGAGCGCTCTTGTTTTCATAAAATATTTAATGAAAAGTAAGGAACACTTTACCCTACGTATAGCAGCCAAATTGGCAGAACTTTAAAAAAAAATGCTTTTTTGAGAATACAAGTTCCCTGCTATTACCACAACCTCCCTCTCCCCTCTTTTTTTACTTACCTGGTTTCCAGTGACAAGACACCATCATTGCAGCCATCTACTTCACCTCCTTTTTTGTCAACATCTCGTTGACATCTTCCATCGTTCTTTCCAGAGCTTCTTGCAGAGAAGCATTGGAAACTAAAAGCACATGCAAGGTAAGTGCTGTTTGACACTGATTGGTAGAGGAGAATAAAATGGCTGCACCCAGATATTGAGATCTGGCACAAGAAAGAGAAGATAATAAATGTAAATAGAGGCAAGTAGCAAGCGAAGGGCTATAATCATTAACTCCTTCCCAGCGTTATGGCATGCTATGCCGTCCTACAAAAGGATCTGATTGGAGGGACTGCCTGAAAACCGAGGCAGTGCCCCTACAGCCAATCCCGCCAATTGGAGTCACGTGATTCCGATGACACTGCAATCACATGATCGCCGTGATTGACAGATTGAATACCCTGAGTTGTCTACTTTTGTCGATGGTATGCCATAATGGGGGTCATTTTCATTTATGGGCTGCCATACAGTCTCAAAGGCAACATGATTCCAGCAAAGCAATCTGGCAAATTTCAATGTGGAATGGGCATGCTCTTTATTTGACCCTGTAACTTTTAAAAACTCCATAAAAAGCATGTACATGGGGAGTACTGTTGTACTTGTGCAACATTAGAGTATCCAAATATGTGCGTTTTGTTGCAGTAAAAGCCAACAGTATTATGACATTCACAGTTAAACTGATTTCTCACACTTTTTAAAAAAATATTTTATTCATATTAAATTATGTTTCATATATAAATATTTGATATGAAATGAAAGCCCTGTTTCTCCTGAACAAAATGATATATAATAAGTGTGGGTGCACTTAATATGAAAGAGATACATTATGGTTGAACAGACATATAGCGCAAATTCCAGGTGCTATTTTGGTTCAGAACTTGTACAATTGTCTCCGTCTTTATGGGGTTAACACAAAACAGAACAACATAAAATGTATTAAAAAGATAGAGTTTTTTTTTTATAAAAGTGTTCTCTTCTACAAAGTGATGAAAAAGGAGTGGAATCACTATAGGAATGTGGCGGCTGGTTCCCCTGGTTCTCATGGTGATAACTCTACTTCTGTTACTTCAGACCACTTTTTAGAACAGAACACTTTGATAAATGACTCTCTTTGAATATATCTGTGCCACAGAGACAATCACACAATACAAGACACCCACAGCTTCTAATATAGAGGAAAACCAGAGTGACATTACTAATAATTCAATTTCTCAATCAGTAGAAGACATTCGTTTGAGAGTTCTGAGTTCAGTGTAAAAGTGTGAGTGATGTAGTTTGTATCTTATACAAGCTTTACATTGTTTGCAAACTTACATTGACAGTGCCTACATGTAGCAGGACCACCACTCTAATTGAGCCTCTAATAATCTTCTTTTTTCATCATTGCAATGTATATTTATAGCGCTAACACCTACAGTGAGGGAAAAAAAGATTTGACATGCAAATCAATTTATAACTTTTTTGACATGCGTTTTTCTGGATTTTTGTTGTTGTTATTCTGTCTTTCACTGTAAAAATATACCTACCATTAAAATTATAGACTGATCATTTCTTTGCCAGTGGGCAAACGTTCAAAATCAGCACGGGATCAAATACTTTTTTTCCCTCACTGTATGTAGCTACCGAATACATTGCTAAAGGATATGATGTATTAGGATTTAAGATACTTGTCTGTATGTTTTCACTCTATCTCTGGTCACTGATCGTCCTATCACTAGCTTTCCCCTGGATTCTTACCACACATTCTAAACTTTTAAATATTCACTTGGAGAACACCCATCTACATAGGAAGGGATATCTTTTTACTATCTACCTACCTAAGCCATAACTTAACCTTTTGTGCATCTCCCCCCTGCTCCCTTAGTGCCCTCTGGCACTTTGTACATATCCATCCTTTGTGCAAATCATTCCTCCCTCCTTTAGAGGAGAACCATCCCAAAGGAGACATCTTCCCCTCTCCACGATGAGTCTAACTGCCCTCCTTCTGGTGCATTTCTCACCTTCTTCCTCCCTTGGTGCATGTCCCCTCTTCGATTCTCCCTCCATCTGTGGATCCCAATCCCACCACCACTCACTCTCTCCCTCTCACATTCCAGCATTCTTCTGCGCAAAACACTGCTCTTGCTCTATTGATTACTTATCCCCCAAATCCACACTCTATACACTCCCTCTAATTCTTCCACGTTCTCCTTTATAATTTGCTCCATGCCCGCTTACTCAATCTATAACCCGTTTCTCATTGTGTATTTTGAAAACCATAAGTTATTTGTGTGTTGGTTGTGATTGAGAAGTCAGATTTATTATCACAGGCAAAATACATAAAACTTGATTCTGAGCCCAGATTTTTCTCCCCGTTCTATCTCTTGTCTTGGCAGTTTTGTGTAGATATCCAATGTATATTCATTAGTGCCTCTCACTGCCCTTGTGTCCTGGAGTAAAAGCTAAGAAGAGCATTTGGCTCTCTCATATTGAGGACATCTGGTCTGCATGACATTTTCTAAGACAGTATCTTGGCATCATGGGTCACACTGAAACCTAGAGTGACATTGACTTTCACAATGTTCTGTTGTCACTAAGCAGCACATCTCTTAACATGAAATCTCTGGCAGTGCTTTCTCTGAATTGTCTTTGTATCACTGCTAAAATTGCACTATTAAATCTGTATCAGTATACGTGTCTGCATAGATTGCCTGCTTAGAGAGATGCTTAGTTAAATTAAATAGACCATTCTACTTGCTGCACCTTGAATTAAAGGGACACGTAATATCAATAGTTTTTCTATGTTTTTTCCAAATGTGTTGATTAAATATTTGTAATATTCCATTTCAGCTACAGGTGTGATACAATTTTATATGATGTTTACTATGAAATATTATCTGTCTGTCAGTATCTGTAATGATATTTATAAATATCATACTTATAATCATGCAGTACATACTTACAAACATTTAGAGAGTTTCTATACGTTGCATGTTCTCCAACCAAGCATTATACACTCTGTGTTCTCCACCCTGACTAGATATTCTATACTCTGCATGTTCTCCACCCTGCCTAGATATTCTACACTCTGCATGTTCTCCACCCTGCCTAGACATTCTATACTCTACATGTCCTCCAACCTGCTTAGACATTCTACACTCTGCATGTTCTCCACCCTGCCTAGACATTCTATACTCTGCATGTTTTCCACCCTGCCTAGACATTCTACACTCTGCATGTTCTCCACCCTGCCTAGACATTCTACACTCTACATGTTCTCCACCCAGACTAGACATTCTATATTTTGCATGTTCTCAACACTGCCTACACATTCTATAATCTGCATGGTTTTCAGGCTGCCTAGACATTCTGTACTCTGCATGTTCTACACCCTGCCTAGACATTCCATATTTTGCATGTTCTCAACACTGCCTACCCATTCTACATTCTGCATGTTCTCCAGGCTGCCTAGACATTCTGTACTCTGCATGTTCTACACCCTGCCTAAACATTGTATACTTTGCTTACATGTTCACAAGCCTGCCTAGGCATTCTATATTCTGCATGTTTTTTGTTGTGTTGGTTTCCCACTGTACTCCAATCCAGCTCAGTAGATGGAAAATTAACAAAAGTCGAATGTTCTTGACAAACCGAGGATATCACTTGATCCACAACCAGTTTACTGTGCATTCCATGAAGTGAGGAATCATTGTTTAGAACTGAAAAGGAACTGAAGGTGTCTACAGTGGCCAGACCAGTGGTCTGATGATGTCTCATAGAATTTGAAATCAATTACAAAGTGTGAGAAATTAACAATTATTTTAAAGCTCCGTGTAGTCTTGTTATCAAAACTTGAGGAACTTTGTATAAAAAAGATGCTTATTCCTTCATGATTCACATTTCTATATATGAATTGTCTGATATTAAATCTGCATATCTGTCACTGTATCATCACTGCTTTGTTTCATATTCGATGCGCTGGCGGACCGACTCATACCGGCAAAACGTGTTTCATTGTCTGAACATCATACTCTGCATAAGCAGAAACCTACTGGAATTCATATGCAAATATACATTGGAACAAATGTGCTGGCGTGTATTAAAATGTATATGCAAATATTTATAGGAACATATTTTGAATATATGTGAATATGTTTGAATATCATAATAAATATATTTTTAGCTAAAAAGGAAATGTAATTTGTAAAACATATGCTGACATAGATGAATGTATGTATGCAAATATTGCGCATACACACATATATATATATATATAGCTCAGAAGAATATGCATGAAAGTATAACTATATTTGAGCATGTATTTAAATGGAACATATGCGTGCAAATATCTATATGGATTTTTGCAAATATATGAAGGAATATATTTGCCCAAGTAACCATATGAAGGTATTTGCATGACTATATATATATATACACACACACATATGCACACAGATACATGTCTATATACAGAGAAAGAATTGAAGGACCACTCCACAACCCAAACACACTTCAGCTTTCTTGTACAAAGAATCTGACTCAGTTGAGGATTTGTCTCCCTTCACGAAGGGAGATATCAAAAGACTACTGCTGGACCTGAGGAAGGTATAGAAGACCGACCTTCAGGCATCTTATAGAAGAAACTGGCAGCAGTGGAGGCCCGAGAATCAGCTAGAGATACTCTGATACAGGAGACTAAGTGGAAGGCCTTACACAGCAGCTACAGAGGCTGACCAAAACTGTCACTGCGCTGGAAACAAGACACAGGCAAAAGAACATCTCTCTTAGAGGTATCTCGGAAACGGTTGGAGGAGCAGAGCTGATGCCATTTACAACCCCCCTGATTGCTTCTATGGGCCTCTATGGGATTTCTGACCCATCGCCAGTGATATCAGTGTTCCAAATGCGCAAATCAACCGCAACCCCAGCTGGGGCCCCAAGAGACACAATAGTTGTGACCAGGGAAATTGCGGCACGTTCCGCTATCATGCCCCGCTCCAGAGGCCTAGGCACTGTGGAATTTGAGGGGAGCCTGGTAGCTTGGAACCTCCCGTTTGCTGTCTTGCTGAAGAAACAAAAATTGTCTCCAATTGCAAAAGACTGAGAGATCACTTGGTCAAGTACTGCTGGGGGACGCAGGGCACCATTGTGGTACCAAGAGAGGATGAGCCGCTGACCCTGTCCTCTGCTGACGATCAACTGTCTTTCTTACAGAAACTTAACCAACCAGCCATACTGAAAGAAAACACAGAAGCAAGATCTCCGGACAGCCTATAGGAGAGATCTCTGCAACCGCCAGCTCAGCAGCTGGCAACGACAGTCCGACGGCTGCAGTTTAAGGAGATACCCTTAGCAACGGCACTCTGTTTTAAACATGGCTTTTTAAACTAAAGCATGGCTTGTGATCCAAAAGCATCATTGACCAGAAACCAACCATGGACGTTACAGTGTCAACCCTTTTGGGTCTCGTCAGCATAGTGCTGGTTCTGGTTTAGGAGTCTTTCAGTTAGCGTATAGCCAAGTTCCAAATAAATTGTGGTGAAAGAAAAATAAATCTTACTGCAAACTTGAAATGTGCATAATCTTAATATCTCAAGTAGGGATTTGGGAAAAGTCTGCCTAGAGAACAGAAATTGCCAGAAATCTACAGCAGCCTGGCCCATTGGGCTCTGTTACAGATTTTAAATAATTGTTTTTTAGTATTGTCTATATGAAGGATACAATGCTGGAGTGAAGTTACCATGTTGCCTATGCATACACCCTAATTGACCTGCATTGACACTATACATCCCTCTGTCTTTAAGACTGTGCAATCAGGGTGTTACGACAGTCCCTTTACACACACTGACATTTTCAGAAACAGAATCTCAACATAAATACACCTGCATTCGCTGATACTACACACATATATACACACCTAAAAAAAACAGATGTAGGTTGCACCAAAATATAAAGTCCAATTAGTCCACAAATGCATGAGTATGTTCTTAGCTGGTTCCTGTCCAGACTTCATATAGAATAAAACAGAAAATAAAAGGTGATGGTGCAGAGTGTTTGGAACTGGGTACAGGAAACATAACATAAATGCATATAGTATATCCAGGGCCCCCATCAGGGCATGACAGCTGTGACAGTTGTCATGGGCCCAGCAGCCCTGGGGGGCCTGGACAAGGGATTCTGTCAGGGGAGTACAACCCTTTTACTTTTTAAGGGGCCAAGACCACCAGGAGGCCCCAAAAGCCTGGACCCCTTACATGCACACAGACCCAGTCAGGGAGATTAAATATCTCCCTCCACGGGTTTTTGCAGAGTTTGTGCAGAAGGAACGGGGCAGTAGCCTTTACCTCTGTGGCTAGCCGAGTCCCAGCTTTCAGAGCGTTGCCAAGGCAACCTCAGCCCCCACAAAACTCAGCCCCTACACTACTCAACAAACACTTTCACACATACACACAATGGATCCCTTTGCACACAATGCATCCCTACATGCACACACGCACACACAATGCATCCCTACATGCGCACACGCACACACACACACACACACACACACAATGCATCCCTACACAAACACAATGCATCCCTACACACACACACACTGCATGCCTACATACACAAGGTAGTCCTACATACATACACACACACACACGATGTATTCCAACATATACACAGACGCACACAATGCATCCCTACATACACACACACACACACACACACACACAATGCATCCCTACATGCGCACACACACACACACACACAATGCATCTCTACACAAACACAATGCATCCCTACACACACACTGCATAGAAAAAAGAAAGAAAGGAAGGCAGCGCCACTACAAACCACATAAATTAAAAGAGCATAGAATAGGCAGACTAGAATGCAATATATATAATAGATAATAAGCAAATAGAAGTCCAGAATAAATAGTAGAGGTGAATACAGTCTTTTGTAGTGGGTGAATACAGTCTTTTGTAGTGGGGGATTCTTCAGAGTGGTGTAGATGCGTCTTTGTACATCATATGAAATGAGAAAATAACAACTGATGGTATAGTATGTCCAGAAGGGGGTAGAAGCAATAAAAGAGTATATGGTCCTACTCACGTTTTCAAGAGCTATAGACTTAGCTCTAGTGTTGATAACGTACAGTGGTATAATCCCCACTTATGGGATACGTGAGGTCTTAGTATTCTTTCTTGATTAGGGAACCATATGTGGAAATAAAAGCGGGAACAGCAATGGTGCTCAAAGTATAAAATGCCAGAGGTGAGAAGATAAAAAACCAAGTGGTTACTCACATTTAGTTGAACAGACTAACTGTTCAATGAATACAGCTTGAGTGGTATAATCCCCACCTAGGATTCTTGGGAGTAATATCCTCACTGGAAAGTAAAACCACTTCTGGTGCCGGATAAAAGGATGGTAGTAGTAAAAAAGTAAAATGATAATAGTAATAAAAAGTAAGATGGCTAACTCACCGTAAGAAAGTGGCCAAAATACCTTTATTTAAAACAACATAGTTTAAAAAACCACAACGCGTTTCGCCCTTAGGCTTTATCAAGTGGAGATCAGAAAGTACATCCTGTTACATACAGGTTTATATAGGCAGTGAACATATTAGAAAATGGACCCAAAATTATGTCATAATTCCATCTTTTTTTTTTTTAAAGTGCTAAATTTTATATGTGTAAGTGAGTACATACCTATATGTGAAACATGTGATAGTTTAAAATTAAAAACTTGGTTTTATACTCACAATACCTTACATATTATATTTAGATAGAACAGTCACATGATCGGCGGGGGTCAAAGGAATGGAGAATACAGGAGAATCGAAATAACAAGCCAAATAATCGGTAACCAGAGAGAAACACGAGCAAACTGCAATACAGGTATCACAAGACCACAATAGGGCACTGAGAGACAGGAAAGGTAAGTATATAACAGCAGTACTTAATTATCCCGTTGGGAGGCGAGGAGGAGGACGCGAGCGGCGTGCAGCGCAGAGGGGATGCCGCTCGCCTACAGGAGCCGTGACAGTAGGTGGACTCATTGCTTGGCATTATGGGCAGTCACTGGGGTGGCCCCAGGGGGCCCAAGCCTTGAGCTGTGTGAGGGGCCCCCACATTTCTGATGGCAGCCCTGGGTATATCACTCACATTTAAGAGAGCTAGGAAACCAGCTCTGAGAGCTCTACACTATCACCGGTTGTTTTCTGTTTTATTTTATATACTCCCAATATTTGAAGTCTGGACTGTTACCAGCTAAGAACATACTGAAGCATTTCTGGACTAATTGGACTTTATATTTTGGTGCAACCTACATCTGTTTTTTGTATTGTTCCTTCTATATTCTACAATAAGGTTTTGAGGTAATCCCTTACTATTAATGTTTGCTGCCAGTGATCATACCTATACTTAGCTGATACCTTAGCACATATCCTATTTTTGTATTTTTTACATATATACCTCTACCTGCAATGGAAAAAGCATTGGAAAATAAACAGAGTCTTTAAAAGTATATATTGTTAATGTATGTAATTTTCATAACTCTTTTCATTCTAGAATGTATTGGTAAATGTGAAGCGTGCTCACATATGTGACAAAGCGAGGCATAAAACCCCAAAATCGGTGGAGGTACTGCAATTTTCATAGTAATTTCTAAATGAGACGATTGGCTGTGTAAGCTGTCAGTCAGCACAGTATTTAACTAATAAAGAACGAGCAGAGAACACGATCTCAGAAAATAATGAGGAAACCCTGGGATTTTTTCAGATGCAGCGAGGGTCCTGGGCACGCATCATTATCATGCTCATAGGTTGAAGGAAGAGAATGAGACAAGCTGTAAGATTATCTGCTTATTGAATTGCCTTAGGGACTCCAGCTAGTTGTATGTTATGTATCTGACCATAATTATAACACTGTATCCATTGCCGGCCTAGTCAGCCAGTGAATCCAGTTATTTAGACGCGAGTTCGGTTTGATGACTAGTCATTAAGTAAAGTGTGATTTGTCTGGAATTCAAAGTGAAATATCACGTTTTAAGGCAAATTGGCAGAATTTTTCATGTTTAGCTATTTTAATGTGAAATTATATTTTATTTTCCAATAATTAACACTTGAATGAACTGTGAGAATATGCCCCAGGTACCGGAGACAGCTCAAATGTTCTAATTCCTATATTTGTTTTTGTTAACCCAGTTCTGTGGTTCTGTTCAAATTGTGCAACTCGGAACATCATAGAAACCCTTTTTACAGATAGTCCGATACATTCCAGTAAGTTCTTGGCTTCCACACTGTGTGTACATTATGTAGGAACACTTTACATCCACTGGGAAGTTTCATTAGATTCGTTTAATATTCTCAGGGATAACACATTACAATAAGCTTATTTTACCCACAGATAACATACTTCAACAAGCAACTATTTAACTCTTTGTCTGCTATCTGCATTTAAGATGTCTTGTTTTTTTTTTTCACTTTGTCAGTTTGTTCACAAGAGGGCAGTCTTGGAATTGGTATTCATTGTACTGCAAGATATTGTCAGCATGTTAATGTGTTATGGCTTGGTGTGGTATATGTGTTTTACTGTTATTTTTTGTATGATACAAACAAGACACACTCAGCAAATGCAGGATTTCCATGAATTGTGACATTTGTTTATTTGATTTGTGCAATTTAAGAAGGATTGACTGGACAGACAATAGAAATGGGTTTAGATCAAAGAGAATGAACATCACATGAAAGATAGGAATCCTATTAACGACACGATGGCTGGGTTCCAAGTTATTGATCTATTTTCCATTCCTTATCCAATTATATATATTGGCTATTTTACAGTCATCGTGCACTGAATATGTTCTTTAGAACTATCTAAAAGCATAAAGAATGTACCAGACTGCAACACTGTCACTTTACAGAGAATAGAATTTCACGTGTACAGTGTTAGCAACTGTGTAGGTCAATCGTAACTTCTTAATGTAACCGCTATGCTGTAACAAACTGTTTGATTAATTAAAGTATTAATTCAAGCTCCATGAGCATGTCAGTGATTTTTTAAATTCTTTATTTTGGTCGTGCATAGATAAACAGGGAGCCTTGCATTGCCACAACAGCTGATGCAGACAGTTCAGTAAACATAGTGAAACAGTGGTATGGCATACGACATTGCACATTTGTGATATAGTAAAGAAAACATGAGAAAAGAAACCAGCTCTCTGTACAGTTTTACAGTAACATCATGCTAGCCTAACGTGACTAGGAGGTCGTTCCACCGGAGATATATTAGCTTAATATCCGTGTCTAGACAGGTAAGGGTATAGAATTAAGGCTCCGCGTTGGGTTAGGTATATCCAGCTAGACAAAGAGCAGGTAGTTATCTATGAAACAGTGAAGTCTGCTAGACATGTAAGAGGTAGCATAGACCTGTAGTTAAATGCACAATTATTAATATACAGAAGTTACAGCAAGATAAGACTAATGAAGCTTATAGACCACTGGAGCTGAGCTGACCATTGTGTTATTATATGTCTCTGTATGAGGTCAAATGAAGAGAGATGTTTAAGGATGGCATGCTGGCTGTTGTATCACCTCAGGTGAGGCTGCTGTCCCCAGGAGATTCTTGTCCGGTTGGCTGTTATCTGCGCTGTGCATGCTCAGAAATGACGATCTTCATTGTGAGGAGACAGGCACCACAGCAGTTCAGCATAATGGGGACCCCCTGTGCTTCCAAGGGTTACAGGTACTCATCCGTGTGTGGGTGATAGCCCCTTATCAGGCTTGATATTCAGTGCTTGGCAGGCTTGTGGATAATGGTGTGAGTCCGCCTGGCAAGTCTGTGTTGCGGCACGGTTTATCAGCTCCCGCCTGGCGCCCAACCCCGCCAGGGGGACGTCTGTCATGGGTAGGTTAGATGACTCTCACGGGTCCTCTCGCTTTATCGTTGGACACGCGGTGAGGTTCTCCGCCGGGGCCGGAGACGGAACAAGAGCTCGCATAGGCTCCGTGGTGCAGGAGCAGCTTGTGTAGTGCCATGAGTCGCCGCCATTTTACCTCGTAGGCCTTGGGTGGTCTGTGCGCCTTAGGCTCCTCTTAGTTTGAGCTCTCCCCAATGGGGACCGGGATGACCCCTCCGGCCCAGAGGGGGGGGAACGGGACCTGCAGGCGACTCATGAAGTCGGCGTGTGGCAGTTGGGAAGGGAATCATGGTGGCAGCCATCCACCCTGCTCATCTCCTGGGTAGGCCGCAGCCTCCAAAGCCTCATACTCCCTCCGGGGGTCTTGAAACTCCCGATCTCAGGGTCTGCAATCTCTGCTTCATCCGTGTGAGTATCTCGTAGGTTGTTTTTGGTTTAAACGCTTACATTTGCAGCCTGAGAGGCCAGATTTCTCTGGAGCCTCTCCTGCATGCGACCGGTCAGCATGGCGGGCCAGCCCCGCCCCCTACATGTCAGTGATTTGAACTGGATATGGTGCCTGCAGTCTATATTTACAGTGTTTCACTATGAAACTTTTCAAACACAGTGTTTAACCCCTCTGCTGCCAGAGGGTGTAACTATGTTTGGCAGCATTATTGGGGTGTCATCAGCCAGCCCAGAACTAGAGTTCCATACTGGTCGGTGTCAATTTATGTTGCACTGACTTGCATTCATTGGCTGTAAGTGGCCTGTTAATAGTGATGGCTGGGTCTTCTGCGGCTCTGCATAAACCAGAAGCAACTCAGCAGATCCCTTGGGAGTGTCAGAGCCTGGCAGGGGACCCAGGTAAGGGGGCAAACCATTGCTAAACAGTTTGCCTCGTTATCGGGAAGCCGGATCAGGGTACTCCTGGTACCATAACCACTACATCACATTGTTATAATGATTGGAGTAACCCTTTATTATGACAGTTTAAGAATTAAATAGTAGCTTGTTCTTTTCCACATTGAGGCAGAATAACTTTTCTATACTGCTTACAATTGTGTTTGTAACAAAGCAAGATTGTTCTCATTTATTTTTCATGGAGAGAGATACCAGTCTCATTTATTTTGGATTGTAGTGAATTTCTTGATATTTTCTACTGCATTTTATCAGGAAAAGCTTCAGTGTGTCTTCTCGTGTCTTTATTTTTTTAGGTAATATACAAGAATATAGTGAGTGTTTGGGTTACAATTCAGAATACCCTATAGAATACCCTATAGCTAAACAAGAAGCAGAGCATTCAAATCAAATTAAATGTAAGCAGAGAAATAGGTATTAGTGCTTATAAAAAATACATATACTTAAGGGAAAATTCCAAAAATAAATATTAATCAGGAGCAGCCAAACACCACCAGTGTAACTTTCCCAAATAACACCAACTAATAGACAAAAAAAAACATTAAAGGTGTAGCGCTTATTGTAAGGTAATGATTACCTCAAATATAACAATCGGTGTGCGTTCAAATATATGAATCTCCAAACTTCTAAAAATATAAAGAATACAACATAGTGCAGATCATATAAAATGGAAGTGGAGATAGAAAGAATATGCACAGGACACTCATAAACGGGGAGCTAAAGAACCTAGCTCCGGTGTGGATAACCTCGGGTCCGTTAAGGTGACCCACCCCTATAGGAGATAGATGTCCAGTCCTAGGGGAGGCAAATAAAGCCAAAATAGAGTAGTATTATCTTAAACAGTAGTATAGGGTTGTAAGCCAAATCAATGCTTACAAACATAGAGCCCCTATGGCTCTGCAGTATCGTATTGTGTCGTTCAGGACTACACTCCCTCTTTATAAAGGTGATTCGGGAACCAAGGTCAAATACAAATGAATTTATTAATACAATTTCAAAACATACAAATAAAAAGGGAACAATGTCCATAAATAGTCCCAGGACGCG